CAAACTCCTGAGCTAAAATCAGTAACGCTCTCAGCGCTTCATAGAGCAAGTCAGGAAATTCCACATGAGCTTTGGACAAATTATTGTGTTATTTACTGTATGTACCCTTCACCATAACCCTAACCCCTCATTTTCTCTACACCCAATAGTTGCAGACATGGATGCACATTCCAGTCAGGTTAACAAATGGGAGTGGAAAACGTCACTGATTTTCTTTCGTCCCAGGATAGGGATGCTGAGGCCATTCATAATAATCTTGGCTCTTCTCTTTGCCTGTCTCCTCCCCACTAAGATCAGCCAATTCAGCATAGCCCAAGGATTGATCCTTGTCCTTCCTGATCTGTCATTCTGCTGTACGTGTACCCACTGAGCCATCAAGGGAGTTTCTTTTCTAGGCTGTTAGAGCAATGCTGCATTTTGGTTCAACTCTCCATCCTGTCTGTCAAAGAAGCAAGTCACGTTGGAGCAAGGCGGAGTGGGAAGTCTGATGTACGCTTTGCACTCCAGATTGCTTTGAAACAGGGCTGAGAAAACACCTAATTTCAGCGCTCTGCACATATCAACTTGGCACAAAGGCGGAACACAAACATCTATGTGTGAGTTTTTTTTAAAAAGAAAAGTAAAAGAAGAAAAAAGGAAACTTTCACCCCTGCAGAGCAGATTGCATTCAAACTCAGACCTTAGAAGTCAAAGGACAGTGCAACACTGCACTGCAACCCATGTCTCTTTTAGTTCCCTATCTTTAGGATGTCATAGGTCTCAAGCTTTTTTCCCAGCTGAGAAAATCAGAGAAACAACCAACCTTCTTTCAGAGATTTGAGAGGGCGATGTGTGCATCGGCAAGCAATGAAGTGATTCCGATTCTGATTTTCCCCTCAATTCTCAATCTGAACAAGGTTCCAGATTCTGATCAACACTGCTGACTGAATTTACGTGTGAGGAAATGTGAGCTCAATCTCACATCCTACTATTCTGGGTTGCAGCGAGTCGAGAGTTAAAACTAAATGTAATAAACTGTATTAAGAGGTCTGTGACTCATGCAAGAGAAGGCTTAAATCTGGCCGATGTGACAGAGGGGACATTTGTTTCCCAAAACATATGCAAGCCAGGAAAACAAGCACTCTCTCTCTCTCTCTCTCTCTGGATACAGAGAGAGAAATCTAATGCCCTATCGATCAAACCAATTCAGACTTACAAGTAATGAAAACCTAAGAATCATTAACTGATTTCACCTCAGAGAAAGTGACAGCCCCTGACATCACCGACTTACTAATCATGGTGATGTCCTGGAAATGCGACATGATTGTTTAATGAAATCCGTATCACGCTGCTGTATAAGGTAACAAGAACTAATTGATTATGAGTCAATCTTTTTTTGCACATAACCACTTCTCTCACCATATGGATTCAATTTGTCTCATGGCTTTATTAAGTTTTAATAACCCAACACGTATTTTTTCTGATTTAGATTTGCAATAAAGTAATCAGGAGAAGGGGAAAATTATTTTAATCCTGATGCGGATTTGCTTCACACCTATTGTGGAGTCCTGTAGCTCAGTGGTTAGAGCACTCACCTCGCAAGCGAGAGACCTGGGTTCGATTCCCAGCAGGGCGAATCCTTGGGCAAGTTTCCTTACTCCCCACGCCTCTCTTTACCTAGCAGTAAGTAGGAACCCGGTTGTTAGTCGATTGCCGGATTGTTTTCCGGGAATAATAATCCCTCAAAAAAAACAATAATAATTTGGTCGCTCAATCCACGTTTGTTTGTGGGACGCTGCTGTGTGCAATTGGCTGCCGCGTTTCACCCACAAAATATACAGTCAATTCACTTTAGAGTATATTCTGTGAAGGGCTTTGAAACGTCTAGAAAACGTGAAAAGCGCTATATCAAATGCAAGGATTATTATTATTATTATTATTATTATTATCAGTCCTGTATACACAGGGAGTAAGTATTCAGCTATGAACACTTGGAGGATGAGCTACGAATGGCAAACTAATTTCAAAGTGGATAAAGGGAAGGTTATGCATAAGAATGACAAGTTGACCTCCAGGAAATTGGTCCTGTTGTTATCAACAAAGCTGATCAGAATATATATCCCAATTTGAAACATTTAGCAAAGTAACCAGGGTGAAGCAACATTTGGAAGAGACTGGAAAATTCTAGAAACCTTACATTTCACGTCCTCCTGACGTGAAAGGTGCTGTACAAATGTAATTTTGCATTGTTTTTTTTATATTGTACTTCAAAGGACGTTTGTGTGTTGGAGAGAGTATCAGAGAAACATACCAGGATGATTCTACCTCTTAGGGCTCTTCTTTGTTAGGCGAGACTCTCTGAATTAATTGTATTTTCATTGCCGAAAAGATTGAAGGGGAGATCTGTTCCAGGTCTGTGATACGCTGAGATACATAGTTCATCCAGGTGAGAGCAAACTATTAGATCTGGACTGCCAGTGTGGAACTAAGAGCACACAGGTTCAAAATTTACAAAGCTTCAGTGAGACGAAGAAATCTTTTGCCATGAAGCTATAATATTTGGAAAGATCTCGTCACAGAAGCAATTAATTTGGAATTGATTAACTCATTTAAAAGGTGCTGAATAAACATCTATTTAGGAGAAATTCTGGCTGGTGGGGCCTGGTATGGACTGAGAATGTCCAACGTTGCCATGAGAAGCATTGGTTTCTCAGAGGAGAAGGCAGGACAAGAAGACACTCGACTTGACTTGTGTGACCTGAAAATGCCAAAGAGATAAATATGCCCTGAGCCTCAAACAATTTATATTAAAAACAAACTGAAAACAGACTTACATTATCAAATTAAAGACGAATAAAATAACAAGGATCCATTGGAAAGGATTAGGTTTTTAGATTAAGTGGGATATAGTGTGGAGGGATTCATAACTTCGCATCTACTTCTCCACAGGGCATGAATCAGGACTAAAATGTAGGGAAGCATTTGAGAAAGTGAAACCGTCCCATCTACACCGAGTGACATAGATTTTGGTTCTGCGTGTTAAGCCTGCTGCTGTTGAAAAATGTCACCACTCTATGGCCGCATCGATAAGATTTGTTAAAAATTGAATGAGCCATTAAATTGAGGCCAATAACTAATGCGTCAAGGGCAATATTTACATTTGGCCTTTGGACTGCATCGAAACTCAAAAGTCCTGTCGTGTAGGTTAGTGCAATGAGATTGGGGAAATCTCCTTCCTCACCAAAATATCTCAAAGAACAACCAACAGGAAACCCAGAGGATTTCACAGAAATCTTGTTGACTTACGGAACAAATCTAATTTGACACAGCTGGACATGTATTCTTGGAAAATGCCTCGATTTTTCTCGTGGGAATATCTACTTGGACCGCTGAACCACACAGAGACTCATTCTTTGAGCATTCTTCTTTCACTAATCCACGTGCTCGGTCACACGGCCGAATGGTGAAAAGCTTTTCCGCACAAATGACTGTGGCGACGAGTATTGGAGAGATGCATGCATTTAGTTAGGGAGCGGGAGGGCTCAAGACATACTCACAAAAGGTACAACGTTGCTTTAACACTGTGCCAAAAGCTGGAAAAAAAGAATACCTTCCAGGCAGATGTGAAGACACTGCCATAAATGTTCAGGTCATTACTGAGTCTTGCAGTTCTTGTCACATCCTTTGCTTTTGAAGATGTAAAATAAAATTTTCTGTCGCAATTTTTAATTTGAAGGCTCCGATCTTGTAAGAGAAGCGTGACGAGCAAGAAAAGGCGCCGAAGAAATATCATTAACGTCTGTGGCCGAGGAATTCCGATATCTCTAATGTGGGTTGCGTTGATTTACATATAGATTTTTTTTTCAGCTTTGGCTTAACAGTCTGGTTGAGGTTATCAAGGCATAAATATACCTTAAATTTGCAATGCATTTTTTCCATTCCCCCCCCCCCACCACTTATCTCATGTCTCTATGAGTCATTTTAGCCACTTCTCGAGTTCACTCTCTGTCTCTCTTGCTCTCGTTCCCTCTCGCACACAGACACACGGAGTTCTGTATCCAGAGAAGTGAGTTATGTATATTCAAGCAGTGCATCACAGGAATCTTGTTAAGCTTTACAGCTATACAGGCTGCTATGACTGAATATTTAATCACAAAAATGAGTTGGCAGATATGATGTACAATGTGGTTAAGCCTTGCAGCGTGTGTCTTCACTGGCAATTGAGAACTGTTGAAATCGCCATTCATCAGTGCCATCCTGACAGCTTTGTATAACCTTCTGTTTTTTTTACTTATTTATGAAGATTAAAGGTATCTTAAATCAACAGTTTCCCCTCAGTTATATCCCTTTTTTTCTTCTCAAAGCTGCTAAATTTTTCATAATTTAACCAGCCAGTTTGCTAAATTCCTTCGCACAGCGAAGCGAGCTTTTTTTACACATATCCAGAATAACTTTTTAAACTGTTCTTTTTGATGCCGTGCACGATCAGTGTCGATTCAATGAGCCGACCTTTCTGCAGCCTCCAGGTGATAGCGATTTGGAAAGGGTTTGTGTAGCTGTGGCTTCCCAATCCAAATGGCTCTGTTACCAGAGGCTAGATCAATCACAGTGCTCCAGTACAAAATTATCACATGCGCAATAAAAAAGAGCATTTTTCGATGTAAATAAAACACAGTTAATAGGAGCCAATTAACTGTACAATTGTCATAAACATTGTAAGATTCATTGCAAGCTCCGTGGGCGAATGGATCATCCGTCAAGGTATTGGACATGGTTCAAACAGATCAAGAAGGGCCCAGGTTTGGATGGTAGATTTTGTGGGGGCGGGGGGGTGGGGTGGTCAACAACAGGGGTGCTACAATTGGCCTCTGCACCCCTAGGCTAGGGAGCGGAAAACAAATCAGTCACAATTTTCCACTCTGGAGCCAGTGCTGTAAAGTGCATGTGTGCTTTGTTACTTGAGGACATGAGCAGACATGGCTCCAATACCTTCTGTGGTTGAGTAGCCTTCCTATACTCACTCTCTAGGCTCATATTTGAAGAATGGCCACTTGGACGGGGGTAGCAGATGACTGCTGGCAATTGTGGAACTGTGCCCCAGGATATATCAGGACCTTAGGAAAGAAGGGGAAGAGAATTGGGGAGCAAATAAAATAAATAACACATTGACCACGCACGGCGCATTCATGCCTGATTTTAACTCAAAAATCAAAGGAAGAAAACTCATAGGTTCCCACAGGCGCAGGCTACATTTCCCTATTCCCGTTCTCAAAACTAAAAGCAGCGTCATCCCAAAAAGTGGACGTGCAATATATCCCCCGTTGGGCCCTGTTTTGCCGTCGCCACACGGGCCCAGCGAAATCAGCCCTTCACGTGGCATTCAGCAATGAAAATCTCAACGAACAAGGCCGCTCCTTTTAAGCTGCTGTTGTGGTATTACCAATGCGGTGCCATTGCTTTCATCGGGTCTAGAATATCTGTGCGCAACACTGTCAGTTACGTGCTAACTACCTGCAGGCAGATAAGATGCTAGTTCTATCAGCACTGCAGGTAGCTCTCACCGCACTGAATAATAACACCAGCGCCCAATTAATGCCCTCGATACAAATATAAACATTAACTGTTTTGAGCAGGTTAGAAAATATATACCGCGTGATTTATTAACAAACGGTCAAAAACGCAGTCTGATTCCACCTTCAATTCGTTTCAAAGAAAACTACTTTGAGGTGAAGCATATTGGTTTCGTTCACATTGAGAGGTACATAATGGAACTCTAAAGTTTTCATATCCAGTCGGAAATATTTCTTTATTCGGCGAGCCTGTTATTTCTCTTCCTCCAATAAAGCAATCAGGGTTCGGTTTGTTCCATGCAGCCAATAACCGACCATTAAACTCGCAGGACTTTAATCCTGTGCCTCCTAATTCTGAATTATACCTTTATTTTAGCAGGCGAGTAGGAGGACAGTTGAAGTTCACAACATGTCTCTCAAGCCTGTTCTACACCACGCTGTGCCCAGCACGACTCTCTCAAGGCCCAGAAATGCTGCTGGTTTTAGTCGTATTGGCTTAAGATGTAAGATTGCGTTTAAATTTTTTAAAAAAACAAAAGGCTTATTAACATTAGCTTTAATTTGGAAGACGTAAAGCGCTGTGAAAATTGAGACGGTTTTCAAATGAAGACAGAATTTAAGATTTTTTTCTAAATTAAATCCCACACTCTTAAAATCTAAGACAATGGTCTTAAAGCTAAAACCGTGAGAAACGTCAGGTCTCGGGCACTTTTGAGTAGAAGAATCTCGATCTCAAACTTCAGTAAACAGGCAATCAAACTGTGAAGCAGCGATTTGATATGAAGCCCCATCAGCTGAGGATTTGTATCATGTCTGAATCGTTGATTTTAGGTTCACTCGGGGTTAAAGCTAGCCAAATCCAAACTCTACCCATACCCAAGATGTAGAGGAAAACAAACCATTTGATCTGATTCTGTCAGTGAAACCAGAGGGGATTGGGAGTTATTGTGGCAGGATCGACTCTAGGTTGACTTCAGTAGAATATCTGTGATGTGAACAGGGCTCCATCAGAGACTGCTTTACAGTACATTGCCACTAGATGTTGTCATCCAGATGGTTCACAAAGTTATGAGCAAACCCCCCGCCCACCCCCACACACACACACGCACGCACACACATATTTTCATTCATTAAACGCGTGGAATTTATTCAGTGGTTGGACACAAGGGCAATTTCACAATTTCAAAGCTCAAGTTCAGCAGCCAGTAAATACAGTCCAGAAATACTGTATGTGATGTGACAAATCCAACTTCAACAGGTGAAGTATTTCGGGCATGTAAGCAGTGCTATTGTTCTGTAAAATGGAACTGTGAAATACGATCAGTTTGCAATGATTTGCGATACATTGCTAAATGGGCAGGAAGAACTGGATGCTACTAGACTTTTAAGAAACTATAGATCCAACTAAAAGTACTTGCTATCCACACCCCATGGAAATTCTGATTGAATTTTCTGTTTGAGGTCTATGTACAAGTATATAGTGACACACTCCGAACACCTCACCTGTAGCAAAATGCATGCGATTCCTACGGTCTGCTATAAAATAAACTAGCGAAATATACAGAAGGAAGGATGCTTCTTAATTCACAATATAATTGAAACAAAACAAAAATTCATTGTATTCTTTGTTAGATTTCTAATGTGTTTTCCTCTTAATTGTTCAATGGTTAAATTTGTTTCTGTTTTTAAGCAGTTCCTTTAAAAAGGAACAGAGGTAGGAAAAAAGTTAAGTAGCCTTTTGAACAAAATATCATAAGGTCAGGTGTGCGTATCAGGGATTTTCTGTTTTCTTTTACGCATAGATACTGGCTCGTACATCATTTATTATTTAAGAAAAATTGTGGTAAAGAAAATCATATATTTCCTTCAACAAGACCATGCATGGTTCTTGTCCTCTCTTGCCTTATGCACAAGAAGATGGGTTGGAAGGATGAATGCAAGTCATTGGAAGAAATAAATAAAACACTTAACAGACAAGTCCATCCTACAAGTTAGCGAAATCTCACCCCAGCCACAAACGGGAAAACACATCCAAGTCAGGGTGACAACCGTTACACTATTCATTTCATACCACACGGAGGTACGACTACCTTTAAGGTCAAAGAAATGATGTTGTACAATGCTTATGATTTGGTTTTATCTTGACTCTATCATAGTAAGGTATCAATGTAAATTGGAATTATTTAACCCACATCTCACACTGATCCTAGGAATTGAAGTGAGGGGAGTTCAGATGGGCCAAAGGACCTTTTTCATCCAAACTAATCTTGGTGATCTTTTGAGGTTGAAGGTTTCATGCGTTATAAGGGAGAACAAATAGCAAATTGATTCAATGCACTGGTCACCTGTTTATAATGTGTCATGTTTGTGTCACATCATTCTTGACCCATTTGTTTGCATCAAACAGGTCAGGAAATGATCCGAATATTAACTGTTTATAAAACACGGGAATATTCAAAATGACACCCAAACCTGTCTGACACATAGATCTCTACCTGAAGGTAATAGATTCCTCCCACACCTAAATTTTGTGAGGATTTGCACTTACAGGGGTTCGATTGCTACATGTTAATGCAGATCATTGTCATTACAATTAACATCACACCTCACACACGTGGGATTTATTCCATGCATACTGTGTATCAGATTATTCAACCATAATTGACTGACACGCATTAAATCCGTACAATTAGCAAGTTTGCAGCCACAGTAATGCAGGCCCTCACCATTACCAACTCTAAGCTTCAAGGAGTATTAGTAAAATAGTACAGACAAACATACTCGCTGATCCACGCAGTAACACGAAAAACTTATACAAAAACCATTTCATTACAAAGAAGCAGAGACACCCACCCACACGCACCCACACACACGCACACACACACACACTCCATGCCTGCTTTCTCTTGACTGTGACAGCTTCGCAAAGCTCATGGTTGATAACTACTTCAAACCACGCTGATGACTGCTTAGTAAAATACGGTGGGAAAAGAGCACAAAACTGCACACCAGATCAAAACGAGCAAAACGGTGCTTAGGTTGTTGCTGGAAAAACGGCCCTATTTAATCCACTCATGAAGGAGATTTGTTTAACACACTCGTGATTTTATCACTAGTGAGTTTACACAGTCTCCTTCCCTCATAAAAAAACAGGAGGCGTTCATGACCTTTTATGTACAATATCTGTCGTGCATTGGGGGCTGTTGATTTAGCAGCACACACGATTTGTCCTCAGATAATGTCTGACTCGATTTGCTTAGTCTACTATTGGCAGTGGCACAGAGTTGAATAATTATACTAGGTACTGTGTGTACATTTTGAAAACTTTGGTATGATTTATTTATTGTTGACAGTCATCTTTTAGACCATGGCTTGTTGTTTGCCCTACTGATGGCAGATTGTGATGAACAAGTTGTACAGAATACCATAGTTAGATAGCGAGACCGCTTACCTGCATAAAATTCAGGACTGTATACTGCACCCACGACTGGATTTAACTTCCAGCCTAAAAAAAAAGGAAAGGATATGAATTATCGGCTACTTTATATTTGATGAAGAGCACCGTTTCAATCCCTGCAGATCGGCAGTCAAACAGTTAAGGTCCTATAAAAGATGGATTCGTTCGTTAAATTATAATCAAAATGATGAACTATTGGCTGTCTGACTCCAGGAAAAAAAAAGTGGCTCTTTAAAATAATCTACTAGGAATCACAGATCGGATTGCTTCCTTATGTAGACACATTGGCATTACCCACTGGGACGTTTGGGTAATTTTACATTATTTTACCAGAAATGTACGATATCCACAAATTGAAAAGATTTACACTTCACAAGGACAGTTAGGCTCCTCGACTCCCATCCCCAGCTCGGGTGAAATCCTGGGACTGTCCAACACCTTGGGACGTCCTCAGACATGAAAAACTGTGTGAATGTAAATGTGTTGTTAAATTCCCGGTGACATAGTCCAAAAAAAAATCACGGGAGGAGGGGTAATTAAATTCACATTAATGGGAATGTTTGGGATGCTTTCAGACTGACAAGTGCCTGCCCTTCATTGCAGCTTTACATCCCACCGCTGTTACCCGTTATTGTCTGCATCCTCCTGTCACCCCATAAGCCGCAAATCTATCATCAGAGAAAATTGGGAAGAGGCTTCCTCGAAGGCACCATCGTCTTGCTCCTGAATAGGATTAAAGCCATTGCTGTTTGGAGACACCATTGATTAGTTTCTCCCTCCCCCTTCCCCACCCCAACGGGGACACTCCTACGAGCTCTTTGAATGTGTTTCATATGCAGCTGCCATTGCCATCAAGGGGCTGACAGATTTCTCTCAGACTTTAAGTTACACTAATGGTCTCTCAATTTGTCCAAGAAAAATTCCTCTGAGACTCAGATCGATGTTCACAGCTGAAAGGTTGTCTCATTTTTCATCTCCTTCCCACTCCCTTCCTGATAGCTGGATCAACTAACTTTCCAGCGCTGATGTGGAGAAGACTTCATTTATCACGGAAATAACAGCAATTAAACTTTACTTTGTCTTGTCTACGAGCTTTGTGCTGGCTCATAACTGTTGTGGGTTAATCAAGCGAGGCAAGTGCAGTTGTCTGTGAGTCCACAGCTGCCACGTACTGCCCCAGCCCGGCTTGCGGATCGAAAGGAAACACACAAGCAAATTCCAAGCTGAGGCGCATCGTAAATATAATATGGCCAGGATTAAGAGGCCGGCTCGTCTGAGCTTGTCAGGATTTGCTGAGATCCCTTCTCTGTCGGGGATTCGATCCTTCTTCGGAAACTGCCGCTCTTGTTATTTTTTGGGGTTTCAAGTAAAAAAAAAATGCCAAAATTAAAGACCAAATGTGGCAAACGGCTGCTCTGTATGCTCTGGAAGACAAATCAGCGATAACCCACAGAACAAAATCTGTCAGAAATCAATCCGCAAACAGTCTTTTTTTTTTGCTCCGGATTGTGATCCCGATGTCCGCAAATGGCATCATTGGTGCATGGACTGAGCACAGCCTGTGGTCTATTTGTTTCAGTCGACGGTGCTGTAGAATGAAAACCACCTGATTTAAGTGAGTGGAGGCTGAGCAATATTTTGCCGTGTTGAATAACATTTAAGGTTTGGATAGGGTCGATATAGGGAAAATGTTTCCACTTGTGGGGGAGACCAAAACCAGGGGCCATCAATATAAAATAGTCACAAATAGATCAAATAGGGAAGTTAGAAGAAAATTCTTCACACAGAGAGTAGTGGGAATGTGGAACATGCTACTACAAGGAGTTGTTGAGGCAAATAGCATAGATGTATTTAAGGGAAAGCTCGAGAGGTACATGGGGGAGAAAGGAATAGAAGGTTATGCTTGAAGGCTTAGTTGAGGAAGGGCAGAAGGAGGCTCATGTGGAGCATAAACACCGGCATAGACCAGTTGGGCCGAATGGCCTGTTTCCGTGCTGTATATTCCAATGTAGTCTAATGTATTTAGGCTCGTCCACCACAATCCTCAGTGAAGTCATTAAAAAAATCCAGTTCCCGCTCTCTGCAATGTAAAAAAAAACTTTCCACGCAATGCGAAAGTGGATAATAAAAGAAACTCCCTTCACTTTTTGAATAGTGGCATGGGATCTTTTACATCCACATGAACAGCCAGACAGGGCCTTGGTTCAATGTCTCATCCCAAGACTGTATTTCTAAGGCCATTATAACTTGAGAGGCATTATCCAGCACGTTTTTCAGTTCCTACGCCCCTAACCTCTGGAACTCCATCACACTACCAAGCTGTCTCTTTTAAGTTTGTACCTCTAAAATGCTAGAGAATTAATTTTTCTAACCATTACACTAGAATTATAGAGCAGATTAAGCGTTAGACGTCAAGCCAACCCTAGGGGTTCTTGTGAATCCAGCATTCTTTACAGAACAAAAGGATTCGGATTGTATGATCAAAAGCAATGCAGGAAAAAACAGTTTTTAAAATGAGGTTCAAAAGAAACTTGATGACCCAACACAATTTTAACCCATTGGTATTTTTTTTAGAGCTGGAATAGGCTGTACTATTTACCACAAATGATTTGGCTGGACTGGATTTGTTGTAACCGTGTTAATGGTAGATATCTTTCAGATGGACTCTATCCAGTCTTTGGAGAGTCACGTTTCTTACCATCAGATTAATAAACCAGGTTGCTCGTCCATTTCAGTACCATTAATACCAACACAACTATCTGCTGCACAAGAGAACGGTCTGTCAAAGCACAGCACCTCGATGAAAGTGAGCTTATCGTAATTTAAATTCATAGTTTTCCAAATGTCCATGACTCGTGCAATTATTGAAAACCACAGTCACCCACTGACATTGTTAATGCATTCAGTGCAGCCATGAAAAATTGTGGTCTTCTTTCCAGTTGCTCTCGCAGTCTCATTAATAAGCTTTCAGATGTGAAATGAAATCAATTTTAAACCTAATAAGCCAACCCCGCTCATCTAGCAAGTCTACTTGTTACTCTTCCACCAGTAATAATAGGTTCTATTCTACGTTAGCGGAACAGCTTACGGTGAGAAAATATTCCCAGGTAAAAGAAAAGTGACAATTCAGCAACCATTCACGTCCCATATTGGACAGGTATATTTTCACCAGTTAAAATCCTGCTATGATGGGTATTCAAGTCTGCTGCGTGATAATGGGAGGTAAATCTAGGTTTGCATTGATTGCATGTTATAATGATAATATTAATAATCCTTGCATTTGATCTAGCTCCTTATCACATCGTTGAGACGTCTCAAAGTGCCTCGCAGAATATATTGTAGAGTGAACTGACTGTATATTTTGTGAGCAAAATGGGACAGTAGTGTCCCACAAACAGTTGTGAATTGAGCGATCCAACTATCATTATTATTATTTTATTTGGAAGGTATTATTACCCCCAGAAAAGTGATCCGCCAATTGACTAACAACCGGGTTTCTAATTGCTGCTAAGTAAACAGAGGCGTGTGGAGTAACAAAACTTGCCTAAGGTTTCGCCCTTGGTGTCTGGGAAATGAATGTGGGTCCTCTCGCTTGTGAGGCGAGCGCACTAATCAATACGTATTGTGGTAGTTTGGGTCACAAATCTATTATGCTGCATTTTGTTGCATCCTAAAGTGTTAAAGTGACCCAAAATTTGCAGAAACAGCAGACAGCAGGACCAGCACCTGAGAGAAGTCACAGGTGAGCAGTAAAACACTGGTTTTGAGAGGGCAGTGTTTGCACAAAGCTCGCACAAGATGTACTTCTCATTCTCAGTGTCACTTAATCCCTGCTGGTCTCTCTGCCTAGCGGGCTCACATTAATTTCAAGCTCTGCTGTACCTAACTACCTCTTACATCCTTTTAATTTCAAAGCCACTGGCACCAGTAAAGCATACTGAACAACGGCACCTCAGTCATGCCAGCCAAGTTATAATGGCCTCAGAAATGATTATGCTCTGTTTGAAATTCCTTCCAATCTCTGGCCTATCTCGAGGTAGGTTGATGATATTTTCTTGTTCTGCATTCAGATTAAGTTCGATCATCCGCATTATTTTTGGATCGTGGGATTTTAGAGACCTAGGTACTGTCTCCTCTTGTTTTTTTTTAATCCAAGCTAACTCTGAAAGTCTGTCTAAAGATCACCAAGCCATGAACTCATCATGGAAACAATAGAAAATCCAGGGATGGAAAAAATCTATTCAGATATTAAGACTCAACCTTCAATACACTGACTGTCCTATAAACACATACACTATATTCTGAATGAAAAAACAACTTTTGGGAGGCTGGTAGATTATTCTAAACACTTCTCCCTCTCAGTAAAGACCGTTTTTCCCAACATCTGTTTCAAATAAAATTGGTTTCCAATTCTGCCTTCGGGTCCTACTTTCTTGATAATTTGGACGTGCTTGGAGGAATAGTGTACCTTTTCCGTACCTCAATGATGTCCACTTAACCACCTTGTCCTTCTCCTCCGAACTCTCTCCAACACATCAGTGTAATATTAGCAAAGAGCCCAACGCAGAGCTAAACAGTGTGAGGCTGAAAATCTATTTGGATTAAATTTCTATCTAAATTTACCCAAGATTGGCCAGTTCAGTAGAACTGAACTTTTCCGGACAATGAATTAAGATGTGAGTTTCTCCCAATAGCAAAATTGAAAGCAAAGACAAATTATCCCTTTGACATTGAAATGGGTGAGGTAATAGCAATTGGAGTTGGCTGCATGTGGCGCTAACTTGGTCCAAGCTCCAAGGGAGGTCTTTCAGTGAGACATAAATACCAGTATATTAGTTCAGTGCCCACAATCGGAATGAAGTAAATGAAGGTTAGGAAGATAGGTAGAAATAGTGGAACTGGGAATTCATCCAGCTGTAGAATACATCATTTGAGGGTACGTTGACATAAGTAGTTTGGTTAGTAGATTTATGTAATGCATAATTTCCAGCATGTAAAGAATAATAAATGCATACTTTGCAAAAAAAATGAAAACAGCAACCTCAGTGTCAAAAATCCTGCAATGTACATTGCATATTACAAAAGTATGATATATATAAAATGGCGTTGCATATAATGCATTGCATATATAAAGAACGTATTTCCACACATAAAGAGAAAAGAGTAAAGTGAACCACACATTTAGCACTTAGCAAAACTCCTAACAAAATCAGCTTCCTATTAAAAATGTAAAGAATCGTAAGATATTGAGACATGGAAAGAGGTCATTGAGACTCCACTGGGGCCAAGTACTCCAATCCCCTGCTCTGTCCCGCAACTCTTTTATGTTGCCCTCTTCAAACACTTATCCAATTCCCTTTTAAATGTAATTTTAAATTCCCTTCTTAACCTCAGCAAGGTTAAGGCATGCAGCCGGATAGAATTGTCTAGGGCTGAGATTCGTAAGAAAGCTCCAACCATTTCTTTATTGCAATCATACATTCTACTCGTTGACGACCCTTTGGTCATGGCCTTTCGCTGGAAACCGCTCATTTGCTTTCAATCAGAGACTTTTCTTTTTGTGCGGTGGTGGGTGCCTGATAGTCGATAAATATTAGTCTCACAAAAGAGCGATCTTTGAAACAAGTAGTCGCCCGACTGGGTCAATTTAATCCTTCACGAGAGAGAGAGAAGGAGGAAAAAAAAGGTCAGTAAATAGCAAAGGGGTATCGTAATGATTCTTTCTATTGCTTCTTTCTTTCTCTCTCTCTCTCTGTCTGTGTCTTGGGATCATTTCAACGGTAACGGAAAAACAAGCAGAGAAGCAAAGAGACTGATAACTCACCATTTGCATAAGGGTTGACTGTCTTTTTGTTTGTCATGACACGTGCGGTGGCATTATTAACCTAAGCAGATAGATGATGGTGTTAGCAAGTGGAGCAAAGGAGTTGCAGTCAAATTCCAAAAGGCATGCATTATTAGCATTACAGTTACATTTAAATAATGCATCTACTTGTGTAAAAGGGCATTAGATGCATGACAGAAACACACACTATTTTGATTACATTTACTTCCATGACAAACATTTGTGATTTTTCCAAAAAAGCATCGTTTAAAAATGTTGAAAGACGTAAAAATGCAAATTAAACAATACTGCTACTTCTATTTTAAAAAATTGAAAGCATGCGTCTACTTTCCATGATAAAGAGATGATTCGAAAGAATAAACAATGAAACCAAAATTTAACACAAAAAAAAAAGAAATCTGTATGAAGGAACATGCAGTGGGGAGGGAAGGGGGAAAAAGAGAGAGAGAGACAGAGAGAGAGACAAGGTACAATAAACGAGAAGATGGTCAAAAATGGACAAACAGTTTGCAGTGTGCAACATAACCCTTGGTAATAAGGTACCATTATAAAAGCAACATCTAGCATCCAACACTTGGAACAAGAGCTGTTTCCATTGCAAGAATTAACAAAATCATTCAAGCTTTAACCACAGCTAACAAAGGATAAAAAGAGGGTGCATTAATTGACACATATGGAGTTAACGATCTGAGTAAGATGTGCACGAATCATCATCAATCAAATCAGTGCCTCTCAGGCAGCTAAAACGTACACTCAAGTACAGGCGGACCAATAAAATAGCATCAAGGACTAATACAACAAGTCAAAAAATTCACGTGTTCAGCGTTTATACGTGAAACGGCAGATGGACTTCTCCACTTACCCTTCGCCAACATCGCCAGCATGTGTATGTATACAGTTACCATGGTTACTGTGAGTTTGGTGAGGGCCCTAAACGCTACCGTTGAAAGGGGGGAAATGAAAAGGCAAAATATGCAACATCTTACTCCAAAGACTAAACCGCTAAGAGCAAAATGGAATTGAGCTCTATCATCAATTTATATAATATAATATATACTGTATAGATGCAAAAGAAGGCAGCGTTGAACGGGATCAGTGGTACAGATTTCGTGTGTGTTGAAATTGCACAAAACGCTTTATTTAAAAAAAAAAGAGAGAGAGCGAGTTTTGGAATTTATATGCGGCAAATTCAAAGCAGGCCCTCGAGCCTCGCATTGCCCGCAGAACCGCGAACCTAAACAGCATTTTTTTTTTGTATTGTCCAATTTCATTCTTCTGTTGTATCCCACTATCCCTCATCAACCCTGCAGACTGACCAAATTGTTTTTTTGGCTCGTTTTACACAGTTTTGGAAGTTTTTTTTAATTATTATTAATATTATTATTATTATTATTATTATTTTTTTGCACCCAACTTAATTATCAAGTAACTCAACAAAGGAAACAATAGCAGTATCTATAAAACAGGATTGGCCTTGCCTGTCAGTCGAACAGAAACAGATAAAACCATCAACGACAAAAAAAAAAGAAAGTAAACAGATCCAAACAAGAAACGAAACGAAAACTCAAAAGAGCAAGGCCAAAAAACTTTTCTAACTCTATAAACATGGAAGGGCGTGGGGGTTGTGTGTGGGAGGGGAGGGAGGTAAGTGTGGGGGGGGGCGGGGGGGAGAGGAGGAAAAGGGGGGAGCACATGGAAAGACACATGATGCGCCTGAAACAACAAATGATAGTGAAGCAGACATTAAAAAGATGAAGGGAAATATTTTGGACATGCACCTCTATTTTACGGCCCTCAACCACCGTGCCGTGTAATTTCTCTCTCGCCCTGTCCGCATCAGCACTATTTTCGAAAGTTACGAAACCAAATCCCTGCATGCAGGCGGGAGAAGGGGAAAACAACATGCACATCATTATAAAAATCATTGACCACTTTTTCTCTCTTTTTTTGTCTTGTTCTTGCTTTGCTTCTGTAACATGCAAATTAGAAAAAATATAACAGCATTGAGATGTGCAATAAATAAGCAACAGATGTGAACACGTCTCGTTCAAGATTATACACCTAAGGAATTGGAAGTATGGTACGAAAAAAATAACACCATCACTACTTTACGGGGGGGGGAGCGGGGGGTGGGGGGGGGGCGGGTTGTGGGGAGAAACCAATGCAATAAAGGAAAAAAAAAAGCAGTACCAACGGAACCTCGAACCGATTTTGAAAGGGCGTCTTTTTTCACTCTCCGCACAGTAAGACGGAAAACGTGAGAAAGTAAAGAGGTGCCATGCAAAACGAGAAGAAAAGAGGGGTAAAAAAAAAAATCATTCCTGGCAAAGGGAACAAATGTGCACAGAATTTGCACTGAATGCTGTTAAACTGTAAAACGCCGCTTATTATGGCATGCCGTACTGACTTGTAAAGTAAAGAACTGGCGTGCAACAACAGGGGATAATCTACGACAGATTCTTTTACCATTACAATAATGAAACAAGTCAAATACATGTCACAGCTTGGCAAAGATTTCTATTTTTTTTAAAATAATGAACGGCAAAAGATCTCTTAATATGGTATGGATTCAAGACATGAGCTATGAAATAAACAAATCAGTTTCTGAAATCAATGAAATATTGCAAAGTTACCAAAAAAAAACAGTCATTTATACACTGTACACCAACTGCTTAACCCTCGTTGCCCCCAGGCCTTTCTGAGACAGTGTTCGATTGGGTAAGATTGTTACGTTTTAGGTTTACTGCGTAGTGTGCTGTTGTTTTGGTTAGCCGGGCGTCTGACACACACGGAAACCCCGGCACCATGGTCAAGAGTGTCCAACCCAGTCAGAGTTCCACATCATATGTGCTACCGACATATACAGCTGTGTGGTTGTGGATTGGCAGTACTTATGGTGACTGGCACTCTGTCTCACTCACCAACAACTTGGTTTTAGCAGGTGTCAGAGGAACTTCCAGATGGAGTCACCCACAAAAGGGCATATATCTAAACACACGGACAGCTCTCTGTCACCTTCGAGCTGCTAGCTTAGACTAGGAGCTCTGGAAGTCAATGGTGAGGAGCCTCTGCTAGTGTTTTGGGGGTGGGCGGGGGGGGGGGGGGGGGGGCAGGAGGAGGGGACTTAGATGGATTGAACTTAACTTGTAAAATTCATTGTCAATTTACTAATTCCACCAGGCATGTGTGCGCTGAGGGTTAAGAAGCACCAAATACAAATACAGCAGCCATTTTCGTTAACTTAAGCAATATTGACTTTATGTGTATTCCTCTTTTGTATTTACATCTATTGATGGGTGGTGGTTGGGAGGTCCATCAGATCTCCATTTGTGTCGTGTTATGTGGAAACCTTTTCTGCTCATGACCAGACACTTGCTGACTGATTGACAACACGTGTACTCCATGTGCTAACAACCTATCGTTTTATTTTCAGAGTCAAAAGTTCCCAATGTAATTTGATCAGTAAAACAATAGTGGTAACTGCTTTTTATTTGGGGGTTGGCTGATCCTGACTACTATGACTGTATGGAAATAGAGACAAAGTTCACCATGGCTAATTTCTACTACTAATTTCTACTGGGGCGGGCGGGGGAAAGAAAAAAAGTTTCTTTGCAAAGAAAACTTTCCAGCAGTGTTTTGCTGAGAACCCTGCCGTCAGCATCAATGCAAATGATAAACACACATACAAACGGAAAGTAGAAATTGTCCTTTCAGCCCATGGATCACAGGACTCACTGCACTGAGGAGATCAAGTGCATATCGGCCATTTTAGGAATTTACAAGACCCCATGATCCTGAAATTGACCTTTGCTCCACAAAATATAAACGGGGGAAAGAACAGAGAGTAGTTGTTCTAGGGGTTGGTGTATTTGCTTCACACTTTCTTACGTGGGCAAATATTAATTTTGAGCTCAAGGCAAAATACTGCCGATGCTGGAAATCTGCCGAAAGTTCATTGATCTGAAACGTTAACTCACTCTCCTCTCTCCACAGATGCTGCCTGACCTGCTGCGTGGTCCCAGCGACTTCTGGTTTTACTATGGATTATGAGGAGCTCCGGAGTTAAAAGCAACGGCGTCAAATGTCCCGTGAATAAAGCTATTCAGAAAATGCCCCAAGATAAAGCCCCATACAGGCCAATCAAAAGAAAGCAGATTCTTATTCATCCAACTCAGCTACATTTTAAGTTGTCTCAGTGCTTTTTTTTTAAACTCACTGCTCAGTCCTCCTAACAAAAACCTGCACTAAAATTCATCAGTTCTTGTCAGGACTGTTGGAATGAAATGGATTGTAGTTGGAGAATTCATTAGTTACGTGGGATTAACAATCACATCTTTTACCTACACCATACACAGCGCATTTGTCTCCTAACTTCGTGAGCCCAGCCAATTCACAACACCCACCCCTTCTCCTCTGTCCCTGACTTCGAGCAGAGCTGACAAACTCGGGAGAAGTGGGAAATCGATTTGAAAAATGAAAATCGTGTTGCAAAAAACGTTCCATTTTCCGCAGGGTGAAACGCAATTANTTTTTTGGTACGTTGTTAGATGGCGATATTTGAAATCAAGAGTAATGCACATAAAGGAAACATTGAACTTCAATAACTGGAGGGAACTGAACTGCAGAAGGGGACATTTTCGCTTTGCCTAGTTTAATGGTCTGAAAAATACGGCAGATTACATTTTTCACAGCAATAGATGTAAACGTGGCAGAGTGTGTTACACTGTTCGTCAGCAAACTCAATAATTCTAAAAGTATATGTAGCTCGTTGAGAAAAATTTACAGCACTTGCAAGAATTTAGTAAAAGAGACACTATTTGACATTGTACAAAGAAATTGCTGGCGTACTGCAAAGTTTAACAATTTAAAACAAAACTACTTCTGACTAGAAATGCTAAACCAGGAGCTAACGTGTTACAATTATTTTCTGACCTAGTTACTGTAGATCAGTTCAGTTGTTCCTCCTTTTCACATCTAACTATTCTTAAGGAACGAGAGAGATACATTCGTTCAAGCATGCCGACATAACAAAGGGAACAACTTACCTTAGATCCTCTCTCATTAAAAATTATTTCAACATCTAATATTTTACCAAATTGCTGTAAGAGAAATGACAAAGACGATCTTTAGAAACCAGAAGAGAGAACGACTCTCGATTTAGCGCAATAAAAACGGCAGCAACATTGCAATATTTTTGACTTCGTAAATAGCTGAGGTACACCGCAGGGTAAGTGTCATTTGGCAATGGAGGGAACAGGCTTGATCAACCAAATGGCCTTTTCTCACTGCATACAGTCCTTTTTTTATCTCCTTCTAAGGAGGAGGGCGATAATGAAGTCTATCATACGCCCAGCAATATTTTCACTGTTAGCTTTCTCGCAGGGTTTCTGCAGCTAGTTTCAGCCACCGGCAAATGACAAATCCCATGAGGGTTAATAACGAAATTCATAAATCCAAGGCGCAGCGTTACTGGGGGAAAAATAAGTGAATGGCTTACTTTTTAACAATTTAATTTTGCGTCTCACGGTTTTGTGACGATTCTCATTTATTTATATTTCATCTGGCCGGCCCAGGTTTGCCGTTCTTTCCCTCCGGAAAATGTGTCTTCCCGACAACCCGCAGAGAGGAATTAATCTACACCCTCCTCCTGCGAGCCTTCTTCTTTTAAATGCGTTACATTTTTAAAGCAACCTTATCTAACTAATGTTCAGAACGTTCCAAGGCCTTTGTCCACTTAGTGAAAAACTGGGGCCGGTTTCTTTCAGAGCAGAACAGAAAAAATCAATGCTCATTTGTTACTGACAGACATACCCTGACTCCCAGCTAAATGACTACGAAAAGGGCAGATCTGTTTGCTGACAGAAATCTTTTATGTCTCGGGATTATTCAGAACATTTCGGTTTGAACCTTGAGCGCCCACACCCCAGCGACACTAATGACGTCCGGGGGACCAGATATTTTCTATCCCACTGCTAACCCTCAGAGTTGAACATCCGCACACTGAATGCTACTTTGAGTAAGACTTGGAGATAATGGTCTCAAAAGCAGTCCTTTTAAAATGAAGTGCGTGTATGGCTTTACCTGCAAAAAGTACCTCTCCGATGTCTCAAGCTCGAAACTCGAACGGGTGTGAGATAACATTCCATGATGCGAGTACTTTTGACTGGTTACCCTATAACTAGCCTTTCAGTGGTTTGTCAGAGCTGCCCTCCTCATAGTGTGAAGGACAACAGTTTACAAGCAACAGATCAAATGGTGAAGCCAGTCTTTAATGACCACCCTGGGGATTAATTTCATGTCATTCCTTCCAGCCAGGTAGTCTCCAGTTCAAGTCTGAATTATTAACATTATGTGGGGGAAGGCGGGACTGCCTGGAAATCAGGTTAGCCATGATACCAGTGCCTCATTTTCTTTGCAGACAATCACCAAGGCAGGTTTGACTGCAACTTGATCAATTGACCGCAGCATTTAGTATTGCGGCTTCTTACGAGTTCATTAAATCGGAGGCACTTACACCAAACATTTGCCGAAGATCTGGGTCCCGGAATCTGAACGGAATATTGGAGACATGCAGCCTTTTGGGCTGTGTTTTGTTGTCTGTGTTTTCGGAAGGCTGTGTTTGCTGTTGTCCATCAGTCTGTGCTGCATCATCTGTCTGCTGAAATGGGGTGGGCGTGTGGAGGGAGGGAGGGAGGGAGAGAAGGAGGCGGGTGGTGGTGGGGGGGGTGGTGGGGAGAAGCACAGAAGAAACAGGTTAAAGGTCAGCCTAAATTCCCATCGTCACAAACACAATACCATTTTTAACCCCAAATCTATCCAAATCTGAATTAAATTCTCATTTCCCCGAGTCCAGTTCATGCCAAATACAATGTACGAGGAAACCACAAAGGAACAAGTGAGAAAAAGCTTGGGGAGGAGATAATTCTTATCCAACATATATCCGACTTTTCTTGCAATTACTATTTTTCCAAGGAATTTCAATATTAAACCCTATTTGAAAATACTGGGGAGAAATTCCAGATATGCGTTGATTTGCATTTGTGCAGCCACTCAGAGCGCCCCACATTTTGGCAAATTGTCGTATTCGGTCTTGGTTTTGAAACCGTTTTCCTGCAGTTCTTTAAAATGAAGGCTGCGCTTTGGATTTTGCCAAATTCTGGATGCTCCAAAATGCCAAATATATAGTGAAAAAGTCTACACCCATGTGGAATTTCTTCCTCATGCGTAGCAATTTTGCAACAAAGAGTTTTATCACCGTTTTCTTGTTCCAACAGGAAAAGGTCTACAGTGAAAGTCTGCATTAGATGGTTTATGGTGATCTGTAGCTGTAATATCTTCATTGGGTCCTATTTACATTATTTATGGCTGGACAATCCACTGTAGACTTCTCAAATGGCTTCATGAAACACTTTGCCATGACGTATTCGCAAGAAAGTGATTTTTAACGTAAAATATTTAAACACCTCTGCAAACAAAAAAAGGCCTGGATCCTTCTTAAAGAAAACCTTAATTTGAGTACTTGAACAGTATCTGCCGTAAGCAAAGCACAGCCTTATTGCAAAATATACAGTCAATTTGCTTTAGAGTATATTCTGTGAAGTGCTTTGAGATGCCTCGAATACCTGATAAGGTGCAGATTAATAATAATACAAGGATTATTATTATTATTGCTGAACAGTGTACACTGAAGCATTTTGGTTTCAACTTGCTGCTGCGAGCTCCGCCTGAAATCAAATTCAAGCCGTTTTCCTCCGAAAATTGAATTGGTCACTAAAATGAGACTTGGAGCCACTGATTTTTAAAGCTCGGTTCGCCAGACGCTTGGTAAAGGCAGAACACACTGTCTCACTTCACAGCCAAGCCCGTGTTGGGGTTTTCGTAAGTATACCCGATACACAGAACCATAGAAACCAGGAGGAGGCCATTCAGCCCCTTGAGCCTGTTCCGCCATTTTATAAGAACATGGCTGATCTGTACCTCAAGTCCAATTACCTGCCTTACCCCATACCCCTTAACACCTTGACCTAACAAAGACACGGTGTCGTCTGGTGACTGCAACTGTCGCGGACATCTGCGGCGTGGATCTGAGCCTCTTGTCAAAAAGATGTGAACGCTTCACTCAGCTGCTGTTTATTATTACCTGAAACATTTTACGAGATTTCCTGTTCTGAAAAGTATGACATTCCGCGAACGCAGGGGAGTGGCTACAAAGCATAAAACAAACAACTGATTTTACAGCCTGTTGAGATCCAACCATTTTTCTACTTTCACGTAAATAACACTGTCCTCTAAGCTGTCCTGGCAAATTCAGAAGCGTAATTTAGGGGTCAGCCTGGCAATATTTTAGCCCCTGGATCAGGAGGTTGTGGGTTCGAGCCCCACATCTCAAGTCGGGGCTGACACTCCAGTGCGCTGCAGGGGACATGCTGCGTTATTGGAGATGTTGCCCTTTGGACAGACTTTGAACTGAGGCCTGGTCAGGCGGACACTAAAGATGCCTTGAGATGATTCAAAAAGAGGATGGAGTTTCTCCCGGTGTCCTGACCAACAATCTTCCAGATAAAATTGGTCATACCCTTCATGGCGGTGTGTAGGAAATTGCTGTGCACAAATTGGCTGCTGTGTTTGTCTACTAAATAAACTGTTTACACACTTTACATTAAATCCTGTGAAACACTTTGAGACATTCTGATGCCACGATAAGGCGCTAAATCGAACACGAAAATGATTATAATAATTTTATTGTATTTATTCTTACTAAAACAGGAACGTGCTAATATTCTGAAATGCAGAATGTAGTTTAGTTTCAGCATTTGCAGTAAGCAGTTGACCTTCAGTTCACGATCTTCTTATAACAGCCAGATCAAGCGATTTCAGAAATACAGCACACTGCTCATCATTGCAATGCAATAATAATTCAAATATCCATCAAAGCCCATGCTACTGTATCCGTTTAAAACATTTATAATTTCAAGATGCAGCAGAATTGCATTCAATCGGTCAGCTTTTATTCCAACTCCCCAAATCCCCTTGCTCTGTTTCTTCATCTTAATAAAAAAAATAAGAAAACAATAGTTTAAACGGGCACTGATCTATAATTCACACATCACTCTTAATCTACCAGCAACATTAGCCACACGGGTAATATACTTGTCAATAGTTACACACAGAAAATATATTACTCCGACATGCATTTAGTTTCTATTTTCTTATTTCCCTCTTTCTCTTTGGGTATTTATGTGCCAGGTGGTAGAAAATAGCTTAGAGCATCGCTAGTTCCTTGCTGTCACCCCTTATGTAACTTTTGCTCAGAAGTGCCGAGCTGTCTCTCCCTCAAATCCTCTGTCCAGCTCCTTGGGGTAAGGGTTTGTCTCCCTTTTAACAGCAGAGGAAGAATTCTGAACTTGTGTCAGTGTTTAAAGGGTCTGATCTGCCTCCAATTGACTTAAGATTGGCAACGGAATAGACCCCCTTGAGTTTTCATCTCAGGGTCCTCGTCTGCGTTACAGTACATTGGAGCCCTAACTTGTTACCCTGCTACAATTGCCCTTCACACTCCATCTCCTATACGTGACCACAAGGGGCTCTGTTCATCAGAAATCCAAATGGATTTGATGCTTCTTAACACTGCTAGTCAGCTTCAGACATGATGTATGCGTTATGCGCACTTGCTCTGAAAGGCAGTGGGGAAGTACGATATGATCTCAAGCGGCCAAAGGTAGGGAATTCTAACAGAAGGAATTTAGCCCGATTCAGATTCAGAAATGGATTGACGCACAGGAACAAATGATGGATGAAGAAAAGACCAAGATCCATTTAGTATGCCTTCCACCTTCCTGTCGGTCGCATGCACATATGTCCCAAACTACCTATGTACTATATGTCCCGTAATGTTATTTCCTAAAAGGAAACTATCTATACCTCTCCCTTTGTAAGAATTGTAAGAGGAAGTAGCTGCATTTTAATACACCTTTCCACTTTTTTATGGATATTTTTATGAACAATATTAGGTACTTTTCAACAAAAAAAGAAAGAAATTGTTGCGCAGAATGCATTCGAGAGTGAATTGTTAATAATCTGAGCTCACCAGAACTGTTTGGCTGACACTTCACACGTTAATGGACAAGAAGTAGTCTCAAGGCTATACTCAAATGGAGGAGATAAATGTCTCCAATAATGCTCCTTCAACTAAAAGAACAGAGAGTCTTTCACTTCAGCACAAATCAATGGAGAACCTTTAGGACTAAAATGGAGGCACTCTACAGAGATTACAGCATCAGCTCGACGAGATCGCCTCCAATATTATTTTTAAGCGCGTTAGTCCAGGGAAACGCATACACGTCTAGGAGACTGCCAACATGTTAATGCAATATCAGCACAATAGCATCTCGCACAGTCTCCAGTTCTATTGTACGTCCCTTCACTTTTTCTTTACAAAGGTGGAAACTGAATTCTCCTGTTATCAATCAACAGTCAGGAAGAACTGTCAAATCCAAACGTGGTTATACGAACATGTTTTGACCAAAAAAAAATAGTGAGAGTGAAGGATTTCTATCAGAAGACTGCTGTATTATTTAAACAGAGAAGGATTGTGGCAACCCACTAAGAAGAGCCATCCGTGCATACTATTTAAACACATTTTGTGTTCATTATTGTGAGAGATGGCAGTACTGGGGAATTTTATAGTCAATGTAATTATTAAACTCTTTTTAAGGTCAGGTATCTTACCGCAAAGCCAGATGCAGAGTAAAGCTTCTTTAAACTGGTGAAATAATAATCCTTGCCTTTGATATAGCGCCTTTCACGTCAGGAGGATGTTTAAAAGCGATGCACAGGATCTATAAGTGTAGTGATTGTATATTTTGTAGGCGAATGTTCCAACAATGGGGACGAAATTAATTATAATAATCATAATAATCTTTGCTTTTGATATAGCGTCTGATCACGTCATCGAGAAGAGTCAAATCGCTTCACAGGATATATTGTAAAGTGAATTGACTGTATATTTTGTGGGCACAAATTCCATCTGGGTTTAGGTTTTCTTAGTACCTTATTTCAGAGCTTAAAGAATTAAGTGCAGTCTTAATTCAGAAGCCGGTGCGTTTCTTTTAAGAACTGCAGAAAAACGGCTTCAAGATAAAGATCGAATTCAACGATCCGCCAAATTTTTGACGCTACGAAGTGTTACATGGATCGAGTAAATCAAGACCCGGGTGGAATTTCTTTGCATAGCAATCCAGCCGAGGTCTGTTTGTAAAGAGAGTCTGCGATTTTTGCATTTCTTTACAGACAAGATTTTTTGGTTGCGAACACATTTTAACCCCCCCCCACCCCCCCCCCCCCCCCAACTCGTGATCAAGCTCAGAATGAGTAATGAGCATAATAACACACAGGAACAGAATACGTATTAATAGCACTGCATTAATAAATTGAAAAACAAATTCATCATGTTTAGTGAAACAATGCGTTTGGAAGAGCACTGCGTTTGTTTTTCTGATAATGGGGAATTACATTAATCATTTCAAGTTGGCTCAGTAGTTCCAGCTGCAGCGCTGGATTTCCAACCCAAATGGTTCACATTTCCTTGCCCTTGTTGGACATGTTTTGCTTGTTCTCTGCCAAGCTGCTCTGCGCAGCACAGTCAGTATCTACATGGCT